ATGTTGGTGTGTCCTTTATTTTGTCAGTTACCTGTACCACAAACCCCTGAGGTGCCTTATTGCTATTATAAACTGGTTAGCAACATAATTAGTAATTTTGAGTCATACCGTGTTATATTGTCTGATATACCACAGCTTTCAGCCAATCAGCATCCAGGACCCAAACGACTCGGTTTATAATGGCCAGTATACAAAACATGCTCTTTCCATGACATGCCTTTGAACGGGGTATGGTAGTAGGTGCCAGGCGCATTGGTTTGTGTCAAGAACTGCAACACTGCTGGGTTTTTCACGCTCAACAGTTTCCCGTGTGTATCAAGAATAGTCCACCACCCAAAGGACATCAAGCCAACTTATAATAATAATAATATGCCATTTAGCAGACGCTTTTATCCAAAGCAACTTACAGTCATGTGTGCATAAATTTTTACGTATGGGTGGTCCTGGGGATCAAACCCACTACCCTGGCGTTACAAGCGCCATGCACTACCAATTGAACTACAGAGGACCAACTGTGGGAAGCATTGGAGTCAACATGGGCCAGCATCCCTGTGGAACGCTTTCGACACCTTGTAGAGTCCATGCCCCGACAAATTGAGGCTGTTCTGAGGGCGAAATGGGGAGGGGGGGGGGGGGGGGGTGCGATGTGAGCAAGATCTTTAAACAGGTCAACATTCACAGACCGAGTCTGTAATACCTACATGTTTCAAGCAGACCACCATAGTCCCCGTGCCCAAGAAAGTGAAGGTAACCTGCCTAATTGACTTCCGCCGTGTAGCACTCACGTCGGTAACCATGAAGTGCTTTGAAAGGCTGGTAATGGCTCACATCAACACCATCATCCCAGAAACCCTAGACCTACTCCAATTGGTATACCGCCCCAACAGATCCACAGATGACGCAATCTCAATCGCACTCCACACTGCCCTTTCCCACCTGGACAAAAGGAACACCTATGTGAGGATGTTCTTCATTGACTACAGCTCAGCGTTCAACACCATAGTGCCCACAAAGCTCATCACTAAGATAAGGACCCTGGAACTAAACACCTCCCTCTGCAACTGGATACTGGACTTCCTGACGGGCCGCCCCCAGGTGGTAAGGGTAGGCAACAACACATCTGCCATGCTGATCCTCAACACGGGGGCCCCTCAGGGGTGCGTGCTTAGTCCACTCCTGTACTCTTGTTCACCCACGACTGCGTGGCCAAGCACGACTCCAACACCATCATTAAGTTTGCTGACGACACAACAGTGGTAGGCCTGATCACCAACAACGATGAGACAGCCTATAGGGAGGAGGTCAGAGACCTGGCAGTGTGGTGCCAGGACAACAACCTCTCCCTCAACGTGAGCAAGACAAAGGAGATTATTGTGGACTACAGGAAAAGGAGGGCCAAACACGCCCCCATTCACATCAACTGGGCTGTAGTGGAGCGGGTCGAGAGTTTCAAGTTCCTTGGTGTCCACATCACCAACAAACTATCATGGTCCAAACACACCAAGAAAGTCGTGAAGAGGGCACGACAAAGCCTTTTCCCCCTCAGGAAACTGAAAAGATTTGGCATGGGTCCTCAGATCCTCAAATAGTTGTACAGCTGCACCATCGAGAGCATCCTGACCGGTTGCATCACCGCCTGGTATCGCAACTGCTCGGCATCTGACCGTAAGGCGCTACAGAGGGTAGTGCATAGAGCCCAGTACATCACTGGGGCCAAGCTTCCTGCCATCCAGGACCTACATACTAGGCGGTGTCAGAGGAAGGCTAAAAAAATAGTCTGACTCCAGTCACCCAAGTCATAGACTGTTCTCTCTGCTACCGAACGGCAAGCGGTATCAGAGCGCCAAGTCTAGGTCCAAGAGGCTTCTAAACAGCTTCTACCCACAAGCCATAAGACTGCTGAACACCCGGACTATTTGCATTGACCCCCCCCCCCCCCCCCCTTTTGTTTTTACACCTCTGCTACTCATTGTTTATTATCTATGCATAGTCACTTTACCCCTACCTACATGTACAAATTACCTCGACTATCCTGTACCCCAGCACATTGACTCGGTACCGGTACCCCCTATATATAGCCTCATTATTGTATTATTATTATTATTATTTCTATTTTTTTTAACTTTAGTTTATTTAGTAAATATTTTCTTAACTCTATTTTCTTAAAACTGTATTGTTAGTTAAGAGCTTGTAAGTAAGCATTTCACAGTAAGGTCTACACCTGTTGTATTCGGCGCATGTAACAAATACAATTTTATTTTATTTGATTTTATGTCTATGAACACGTGCAATTGTGTCTGTGTTTGATTTAAATGAACAGCCCTAACAGCCCTGCGTTTGCTTGAATGTGAAAGTTAAGATATAAACCATTGACAGAATCTAACAATTTCTCTACCTACCTAGCACATGCTGATATATGACATATTTCAATCAACACATCGTAACAAATCTGCTGTTCGTAAGACCGAACTAGCTTTATGGAAATGAGGTTGAGGTCTAAGAGATTGCAAACAGTTAGGCCTACTTCCTGTCAAAATGACTCAAATAATTGCTTGCAAGGACAACGTCCATAGTGAAGTGCCCAAGTAAAATACATAGCTCGTTGGTTGACTAAAAGTGTGATTGTTCAGATTGCTCAGAGGCCTTACGCACAGCGAGCTGAAAACACAGGTAAAGCCGTCTACACCCAGGCTACAGTAGATCATAAATCTGGAAAAAGCAGGCAGCACAGAAAGCAGCCAACATGACAACTCCGGGTTAGGCCTATCCACCCAAGAAAACGGGAGCCCCCTGTTCTTTTAAAAGTTTAAATTTGTTTAACTTGAGTGGCAGAGAAAAATTCCCTGTGCGTGCAACGGGTGGAAGCTGCCGTCCCTCCCCGTGCCACTGCTACCAGGGTTGGAGGCAAATCTGCCGTCAGCTTTACATTTTTAAAACAATGGAGGCGGCTGCGTTGGTTGTGTGTATAAGCAGCTTCAGGTATTTCCAGTCATGGCGAAGGCAATACGCTAATAACAGGCCTATTCAGTTTCTCAATTAGGCTATGTAGGCCTGACACCCAATTCAGTCTAAACTCACATTGTATAAATCCATATTTCTGTATGTGTTTTGATTTGTTTAACTTATGCCTTATTGCACGTGGAAGCGGACTCTCCCATTGGAGATAATTTTGTACCTCATTTGAATATGAATTCATTCAAATGTCCTTACATTTCATCATGTTGCCTAGGTTAAGGAGGGGATCATTGGAAGGCCAAGGTGCCCCCTTTGGTCCGACTCTTCTCCAGAAGACCACATTCCTCCATTTAACAGTTCGGCACTGCACATGCATTGATGCCACAACTTTGCCATTTCAAGCATGGTTACATTATGAATCTACACTTCCTGATCCGGAATGCACCATTCCAAGCTTCTTGTTGAAAGCATTTGATAACCGACGAGATGCGTGCATTCTGTTATTATCTTGCCATCACAGGTTTTGGCTGGGCCTAATGTGCCATCCCACGGCTACTCTAAACGCCACTCCCTGAAAGTTGTCAAAATAAAGCTGAACAGAAAACCATGCTTTAATCCACATACGCCTACAATGGTATATCTCACATCATTGTCTACGTTATTTTATTATCGCTGAACTGCCTGAACACTGTCTTTGTCTCTCCAGTTGTGCGTCGAAGTCTCAGAGTTGCTGTCATAGCAACCAAAAGGGAGGACCACCATGCAAATATCACTCGTGGCAACGACCAATGGAAAGTTACTGACTGCCCACACAATTATCTCAAGGGTGGGCCATTGACTCTGATATTCCATCATTGGTGGATTTGACCGTCAGTCTACCTCAGCAGAGAGTCGATTGGAGAAAAAAAGCCCTCTCTTTCACGTTTAGAACCTTGTTCCCCTAGAACAGGTCAGGTAGTAGTTGGTTCACGTGAGCTACGGAAGGGGGAGTTCTCCACATTTAGTTGCATTCTAGCGTTTTTATAGCACCCAACTCGATCATGTCTGTGCGCCTTCACATTGAATGGGTTAAGTGACGATGCATCTTTTTATGCATGATCAAATTAAGAGTGATACTTTGCGTTGTCTGAATAGGTGTCCTCTTCAGATCAGGAGCATCATATCTCAGGGTTATGTGCTGTATGTAGTATAGCTTACAGTAGGGGTGACAAAGGACGTACATCTCTGAAAGGGGTGGAGCTTCATACCGTTTTTCTATTTTTTTGTATGCTATAGCGTTCAGTCTATCACGTCCTCCCAATCGCTCAGCGCACCACCAAAAGCCGTCAACTAACCTAAGACGGACGTTATTTTGACAGGAGTAGACCTACAGGAATTTACGCATTGCTATTTGTTGCGCAATCATACCATTTCTTTGTCAAATTTTAAACTTTTAAAAGTGGCCTACTCGTTCGTAATTTTTCTAGCACATTATTACCTTGATTTTTTTTGCAGCAGGTAATCCACTGCAACTTTTGAGAAAAGCAAGAGGTGGTGCATTTTGACATTGTTATTTTAGCTGGTCCACATTGTGCTGGTTTGCAAGTTGCGCTTGGATTGCTGGTTCTATGGAATCTTGGAAGTTCGTATCAAGACCAGAAAAACGAGGATGCCAAGAGGATACGCAGGGAGAATCGGTAGAAGACAACATTCCGACTGAAAACAGCACGGACCTTTTGCATGAATAGGCTACCTGCAAGACACACCTCTCTCTATTGCCTAGGCTACTCTGATGCGTTAGTGTTAGATGCTGAATATCATATTGATTTTAGACTGAAACATAATTTTCATTCCATGCTGTTAATTGAAGAAAACTATCAGAGAAGATTATTTATAGTCGAGTACCGTTCTCGGTAACCTATAATTTAAAAATTTTCTGTACCAGATCGCGTTCAATTTTCAATGTGCCATCAGCCGGACAATATTGCTCCTGTATGTGATTGAAACATATACAATCTTCTCTCTTTGCCTCGCTGAAAAGCGCATATTGATTGTGTTGCGGCATCATGATGGAGGAACAAGCCCGGATAATGCAGGCGCTCAGCGGCGTGACTCTGGCTGGCCATTCGGTACAAGGAGGCATGGGACTACCGCCGCCCCACGGACACGAGGGGACGGATGGGGACGGAAGAAAACAAGATATTGGGGACATTCTTCATCAAATAATGACAATTACCGACCAAAGTCTGGATGAGGCGCAAGCAAAGTTGGTCCCTTTTAATTATTTTTAATTTCGCGAATTAATAATTGTACACGAAGTGGGCTAATTATTTCATTGTGGGTTATTCTGTAGATAGAGGCTACAGGCATAGTCTATAGGCCAATAGCAACTTTTGAAATTCTGACAGATTGTTCATTGGAAGCCTAATGTTCAATAAGGTAGTTTAGGCATTATGTCTCATGTGCCCTATCTTGCAAATTGTGTCTTTGACCAAATAAAATGTTAACATGATAATGACAAACATACAGTGATAACTATACAATTAACTTAATGTGAAGTTGGATGCCATTGTGGAACTATATACCATAAATTCTACATGTGCCTTATGAGGCCTATGAGTGTGAGTTATTTCCCCACTTTTAAAGGCACAAAACTGATATTATAGCTAATGTTGTTACTAACAAGCATATTTTTATTTACTGACAAAGGAAACATGGATTGAACTGTCACAGAATGAAACCCGCGCTCTTCAGCGTTCTCTGCGAAATCAAAGAGAAAACAGGTGAGTACAAAAGCTGTAACTACACTATTTTAGGGAACCTTACCTACTAGTAATAGGTTTTCATTGTAGTCCACTGTTTTTTGCGCTCGAAAACACGATTTAATCATATAAAATATACAGCTACATTTTCACAAGAATACTCTGTTTGTCCATTTAGCAGATGAGATCGAACACCGCTTGCACCAGTTTGACAGTGTTTCAGTATGAGCACGCGGACGACCTGTGTGCATTGGTTGGCAATCAATGTGTCAGCATATGTCGAACGGCTAAACAGTACTGTATAATTCACTATAGCTAACATTATATTGTATTATATTGGACGTGGGCCTACTAGACTGAGGCGGAAATTGAAGTTGAATAAGACGAGCCTATAATGTTGCTCTCCAGCATTTTTTGCACCCGGAAGAAAACATCACAAAATATTGCCATGGCAGTTGAAGAGAATCTGTCACACTCTATGAAGAAACTGGCACATTTCTTGTAATTATAATTTAACAGTGTGAGTAAACACCGCGCTAAGGTTCATTTAGATTGGAATTCATGTCTAATGATGTAAAATCTGGATCACACTGTATGTCAAGTTAATCAAAGAATTGTGACATATATTTTAATCTTCCTTGGTGATGATAGTGTAGTTAAAAACACATATAATTCAATAGATTTTACATGGATACTTCAAGCTACAAAAGCACAAGTGTAGCCTATTGTGATATATATTTATGTACGGGTGAGAGGACAATAGATAGACAAACAAAGCCTCCTCTTGTAGAGGTTGGTGACATCATTTTAACACAGTGTGGAAAGGTGTGCAATTACATTTCTCTGTGATTTGAGAGGGGAGATGGTAAAATACATATTGACACAAACATTGACAATTATCGAATGAGTAACCTTCAACCCCTTGGGGTAACGTTAAAACTAGATGATCAGGGGGTCAGAGATCATCACCAATTAACGCCTGTGCTTGGCCAGCTTTGGAGCCATTGTGAGCCATGTAGTTAAGAGTGACTTGAGGAAACAACATTTAATGAACTTCTCAGTCACAAGAGATGTTTAAAGTATGAGAGAGAGAGAGAGAGGGAGGGAGAGAGAGAGAGAGAGGGGGAGAGAGAGAGAGAGAGAGGGAGAGAGAGAGAGAGAGGAGAGGAGAGAGAGGGAGAGAGAGAGAGAGAGAGAGAGAGAGAGAGAGAGAGAGAGAGACTTAGAAGGCAAAATGAATATGATAACTGATTTTGCACAAGGGATGACAGCCTCTAGAAATGACTTCAAGCTATAGGTAGTGTAAGGGCTAAAAGTGAGCATCGCCCCAGATAGAAATATGGACTATGGCTGTGGATTTACTGTTTGGCTTCATTGTACACAATAGATGGTTATGGGTTATTACTGGAATATTCATAGTGCATTTTCATAACAATCTCATGTTAAGCCATGAAGTCTCAGCAAGTGATTGCAGATTTTTATAAATATTCAGTGTAATTATTTCAGTAGTCTAGGCCTATAGAGTTGTGATTTAAAGGCCTATTATTTATGTTATAATTGTAAAACTGTTATACTGGTTGGATTATACAGTATGGCACTGTATTGATGTTTTTTCAAAATCTCTTACACTACAAATTCTTTTGGACTGAGCCAGTCACCGTATTTAGTTTGCAGATACTGGTTTAAGAAATACGTTTTTGTTGTAAAAATCTCTATGGCTAATTAATTATGTTTCACAAAGCTTAACAAATATAGTCCCATATTGCTAATTATGAGAATTATTGTTGACTTGCATAGGCCTGTTGTTATTGGCATTACACCACGTTATGTTTTTTACAAAGGTAAGAGCATTAGCATTGTGTTGTCTTGGCAGCTTGAAGTAAATGGACAAAGCTGTACTTAAAGCCCAATAGGAGCCTCTTGTTATTTTATAAAATACTGCAAAAGGAAAGTTGTGGAATCAAATTCCACGTTGCGTTCGCTGGAAAACAATCAAGTGCATTCACTATATCGCTTTTATTGCAGCTTTCTTTTTCTCATATTCCTTTTTAGACGTTCATTGTAAATCACCTTTAGTGTTGAGCCGTGCGTTTCATGGGGTTTCACATGAGCTTAGATTGTTAACAGTGATTGGTCTTTTATTTTGACTGTGCTGGGGTTGGGTGCCTACATCTCAGAGAGGGATGCCGTGCTAAATATGTCTGTTGTGTGTAATATACATATATATATATATCTTTTGATTGAACTGTAGCCGTGTGTGTTGTTACAAAGGATAGCATGGTCGAAGAGCAATGGTTATTAAATATACAGTGTAAAACAACGACTCCATATTTAGCTGGATAATATTTAGCTGGATAACATTTCTAATGAACTAATATTTTGGATGGACTAATATTTTCTGATGGACTAAACCCAGGAAATGAATGGAGAATGCATTTGAATGTTTGTACATATTAATGTACATAGGGAATTGTACATCATTCTCACAATTTAGTTCAAGACAGTATAAGTAAAAAAATATTCTTAGCTGTTATGCAGAGTAAGGGTCGACCTAAAATCCTCATTGGCCAAGTTGGAAACGGAGCACCTCGTCGTTAGGAACAGAAGGCTTCAAGGCTCAAATGATAAATGGAATGTGAATTGTTTTTGGAAGCAAATGTAACAAATGTTTAGGGACTTCAGCCGAGAAAGATAGAGGAGCCTTTTATTGTGTGTGTGTGTGTGTGTGTGTGTGTGTGTGTGTGTGTGTGTGTGTGTGTGTGTGTGTGTGTGTGTTGTGTGTGTGTTTGTATACGGATGACTAGTATGCAATAGGAAAAAGAGCAAGCGCTTGTGAACCTCGCTATGATCTAGCAAATAAAATGACAAGTACTTTTTGGTATTTACTGTACAAAATGCTACAATGAGAATTATATTGGGTTCTTTATTTTGGCATTTTACACAATTTTACTGCATTACTGACCAGTAGCCACTGAAAGTATGGATAAAAATAGTATGTTTAGTAGATACTCTTAGTCAATGAGTCTTAGTGCCTTCTGCAGGTTGTTCCTCAAAGAAGGCACTGTGTGCCGAAAGGGTTGGTTAGGTTTACCCATTCAATTACAGGGAGCATATATAGTGTGCGACTTTGTTTCTTTATTTTGATACAGTAATATCGAGTTATAAAAGCGAATTAAGCTAATTACGGTGCTAATTAAGTCATTAAGACCTGGGTCGGGAGCATAAACGATCATACGACAATTAACTAAATTTACATTGTGACCCCTGAAATATTTTGTCCAATATTTGTGGGTTCAGATTTGTCTGGGAAACACAGGGAGTGGTTTGGAGAAAACAGATGTGATCTACTACCTACTTAGTGGAATCATACCTTTATACGCCCGTGTAGTCTCCTCTTACTTTGAGAAGTTTACTTCAGTCTCTGGCAAAGAGAGGAAGGGAGAGAGATGTCTGCTTGCTATGTGTTTCAAAATAAATCGTGACAGTTCTCTACAAATCCGAACCCTGGGCATATTTGCCGCTGTCCCACATACATCCACTATGATGTGCTAATTACAGGGTTTTTTATTAAAGGAAAACGTAGTCTGTACAGTGAGTATTTAATTAAAATTTTCATACATAAGACCAGTGGTGTAAAGTACTTAATTAAAAATACTTCAAAGTACTACTTAAGTATATTTTTTTGGGGTGGGGGGGGGGGGGTATCTGTACTCTAGTTTACTATTTATATTTATATTTTACTTTTACTCTACTACATTCCTAAATATATATATATATATATATATATATATATATATCTTTTTTTACTCCATACATTTTTCCTGACACCAAAAAGTACTCGTTACATTTCGAATGCTCAGGCAGGACAGCAATATGGTCCAATTCACACACCTATCGATATCATCCCTACTGCCTCTAATCTGGCGGACTCACTAAACACAAGTAGTGTGTTTGTAGATGATGTCTGAGTGTTGGAGCATGCCCCTGGCTGTCCGTAAATAAAATAAAATAAAATATATAAGGAATTTGATGTGGCGTTTACTTTGACTTTTGACTTGGACTTTTATTCAAGTATGACAATTGAGGACTTCTCCCACCACTGTTCTTAAGTACATTTAAAACCAGATACTTTTAGACTTTTACTCATGTAGTATTTTACTGGGTGACTTTCACTTTTACTTGTGTCATTTTCTATGAAGGTATCTTTACTTTTACTCAAGTATGACAATTAAGTACTTTTTTCCACCACTGCATAAGATAAGCGTTACGTTCAGAGTCAATCATTATGAAACAGATAGCATTACCCTAGCATTTGAGTCTTTTTGTAACCTTGGAAGTTACTCTGAGGACAAGGGAAACCAGCTCAGTAAGAAAGACATCTCAGTGTAGTACAGTGGATCACAGATTCTGCTCTCAAAACTGCCGGGGCCACATCAGAAATGTGCATTCTGCAACAAAAAAAAAACACACATCTTCATAATGTGCTCCATATACTTTCTTGCTTGGCTAAATCAATTGTGGGCTTAGATTGTAATAAAGCGAAGTGAGGGCAATTGAAATCATTAAGTTGATTTACCAGCCAGCCCAGATTGAGGAGGTAAGCATTTCTTAAGGCTGTGGGGGGACATTCTGTCTCAGGGCAATCAAACAGTGAGCTAATGAGAGGAATAAATCTGTCTGGATGTTCATTAGATAAAGTGCCTGCCACAATAATAATAATAATAATAATAATAATAATGATAATAAAGTATGAATAACATATGAATAATGTATGAATAGACTTGATTGAAAGAGGGCCTCTTCTGTCAGAATGTCAGAAAACTAAATAGAACACACAAGGAGCGACATCTCAAAACAACTCATATTGATTTAATGAGTAGAACTCAAATGAAGTTGACTCCTCGTGTACGAAAGTAGTATCCCTCAAAATCAGGCAATAGCATTTTTCTTGCGTATGGAGTTATCAGATTATGTTGCTGCTTAACAACAGGTTCTTATGTTCTGCTGGTGTGCTTCCGCC